AGACATGCGTCGTCTTTCTACGTTCGATGCCGGTTGCTTAAGGAAGATCGCTCGTGTTTGGTGGCAACATCGACGTCGCGTCTTGGGGAATGCAAGTATTTCCTTCAACAAACTGGTTTTGTTGCGCCAGTTAAGATGGCTCGGTCATGTCCTACGCATGGCACCTGAGCGTCTACCGCGTCGCGCTCTATTCGCTCGTCAAGGACCTGGCTGGAAGCGACCGCGTGGTGGTCAGCCTTCCACTTGGCGGCAGCACATGAAATCGCTGACGTCGCGTCTAGCCGCTGTTGGACCCGTACGTCTTCCAGGATGGGGACCCAAAGATGAGGAGTGCCAATGGCTTAGGACTCTTGAAGACATGGCCCGCAACCGGAATCAGTGGAAGAATTGTGTACAGTGTTGTATTGATTCACATGTTTAATACTACCAACATTGAAAATGACAAAAAAAGAGAAAAATCGGCGTATGACAAACAAACTAAAAATGTTTTGTTCTGTATTTTTGTCAAAATATTCCATTTTCTTGCGGCATATTAGCTGAAGTGTGTTGCCCACCTTCAACTAGCATGCCACGACGATTATGACGCAATGACTGTCTCTTATCTACTGATTTCCATGGCTTTGTTGGCTCTATGTCTGGTTACTAGACTGCTGAGATTACATTACATTCATACCGCTCGGATTTCCTGGCGTAACTGTACGGAAACTCATTAGGCTTGCGTCTGTGCTGGTCGATGCTTTGGGCGTCAAACCCCATTTACTGAAAGTCGTTCTTTCAACACCGGACGAGCGTAATACGCTTCTGCGTTTCGCTTTTAAACTCAAGGGTTCTGGGGTCAGTATTCAACCTGACCTCCCATTGACTGATAGGTTGAAATTGAAGGCCGCCATAAAGGACCTCAAAGCCCGTCGCGAGGCGGGTGAAACTGGTCTTCGATTGGTGGGTTTTCGGGTGGTTAGCCGGAGGTCTACTTCCGCCCTTTCAGAGCCCGTTCTGGTGGCACCCGATCCCCGGCTCACGATCCCAATTTGCTTAAAGTAGTCCTCAGCAACGTTCGTAGTCTGAGGAACAAGATGTGCGAGATTGGCACTATTGTAGAAAGTTCCTGGCCGGACGTACTTGCTTTCATTGAGACGTGGCTGTTCTCCGATATCCTGGACAGTGAAATGTGTTTGCCTGGCTATACCCTTCTGCGAGCTGGTCGCGCCTCATGCTGTCGCGGAGGTGAAGATGCTTTATACGTCAAATCCACCTTGACTATTTCGCGAACATATTCTTTCAATTCCCCTGATGTAACTGCCGAGGCGCTTACGGTGGATGTTTGCGCTTCTTTCACGCAATTCAAAATTGTTAGTATACAGAAGCCCCGAAAGTACGTCAAGCAGGCTCATTGATTTCATTCGTACTCATACGACAAATAGATGTCTAGTTATGGGTGATTTTAATGTTCCTGAGGTTGATTGGCGCAATTTCTGTACTGCAGCGTCTGGACGTTTTTCTAATGATCTCATCGACCTGTACTTACAAGCATCCCTTCATCAGTTTGTACAAAGGCCAACTAGGTTCATGGAGGGCCAAAAGCCTTCCATTTTAGACCTCATCTTTGCGAAATCGCTGGACTTTGTACGAGATGTAGTGTATGATTCCCCTTGGGCTCTAGTGATCACGTCTGCCTATTATTCAAATGCGCCTTAAGTCGGGGACGTGAAGAGTGTATTGTCAGGAGGCCAAATATCTGGCGCGCTGATTTTCAAGCCATCAGGGACAAGGCTGCAAATCAACCCTGTATCGTTTCAGAGGATGATACCGTCCAGGTTGCTTGGGACAAGTTCAAATCCTTTCTTTGCGAGATTTCCCTCCCCCACATTCCAATCTCAGCGAGGAATAAAGTGGGGGCAAAGCCCCCTTGGTTTGACTCTGAGGCGCGCAGGATGCTCAGTAGGCGATCCAGGTGTTGGAGGACTTACGTATCAGCTCCCTCAGAAAGTACCCATCATCGCTACCGAGGCGTGCGAAATGCATGTAAACAGCATCTGCGGGCCGCACGCTTGAGATATGAACTAGCGCTGGCTCGATCCGCATCAACAAACCCGAAACGGTTCTTTGGCTATGTCAAACGGAGATGCAATGCAAATTCGCCTATCCCTGTGCTCTTTGGACCTGACGGCACTGAAGTATCAACCGATCAGGCCAAGGCCTGCTTACTTGCAGAACAGTATGCTAGGTCGTTTGTTCATGAATCTCCGTTGCCTAATATCCAATTGCAAGCAAAGATACCAGTAGATTCCTTTCTGATGGACCTTTCCATCTCGGAAGCTCAGGTACTCAAGCTCCTGCGTGACCTGAATCCCACTAAAGCTGCCGGGATAGATGCCCTCCATCCCAAACTTTTGTACGAGCTGGCTGGGTTGCTGTGTAAACCGATTAAATGTATCTTTGAGAAGTCTCTTCGTAGCTGCTCCCTACCTGCTGACTGGAGAGATGCTATCGTGTGCCCTATTTTCAAAAAGGGTGATAAGCACTTACCTGAAAATTATAGACCGGTTAGCCTAACAAGCGTACTAGTGAAAGTATTAGAGAAGCTTGTAAGAGATGCTCTGGAAAAGCACTTAGCTAAGTTCAGTTTGCTCAGCCCGTCTCAACATGGGTTCCGCAGAGGCCACTCCTGTTTGACTAACATGTTGGTAGCCCGAGAGTGCTGGGCTGAGGCTGTGGATCAAGGACAGGCGGTGGATGTTTTGTTCATCGACTTTTCTAAAGCCTTTGACACCGTACCGCATTGCCGTCTTTTGTTTAAACTAGAATCCTACGGCGTCTCAGGCCAAGTATTGAAGTGGATTTCGGCTTTCCTGGAAGGAAGGCAGATGAGCGTTCGAGTGGGTTCCGGGCTGTCTTTCAGACAAGCCGTTCTGAGTGGTGTTCCTCAGGGGTCGGTTCTCGGACCTCTACTGTTTGCATTGTATGTCAATGACCTCCCTGAGAAGCTTAAGGTACCATCCCTTATGTTTGCGGATGACTTAAAATTTTGGAATACAGTGAGCGATTCTGTTGGGCCCACGGCTTTGCAGACAGCTCTCGACAAGCTTTGGGAGTGGTCAGAATTGTGGCAGCTGCCAGTCAATCTTGCAAAGTGTTCGGTCCTGCGCATAGGATCAAGCACTTCCACAACTCCTTACGTACTTGGCGGAAATGTATTGCGTCAAGTGACTGAACAAACCGACTTGGGTATCTCGCTATCCTCTGACTTCAAATCCAGCGAGAACTGGACAAATGCTACCCGCAAGGGTTTCCGAATGCTGTGGATGATCCGCAGGTCGTTCGGCATTATAACAAATGAAATGTTTGTTACATTGTTCTCAGCCTTTGTCAGGCCATACTTGGAGTACTGCGTGCAGGCCTGTCCTCCATGCTTGGTACGCGATAAGATGACACTTGAACGAGTTCTGAGGGTTGGTACAAAAATGGTACAAGGATTGAGGCATCTCTCGTATCCTGATAGGCTGCTCAGGTTGCAGATGTTTTCGCTGCACTATAGGCGCCTTCGGGGAGACCTGATTCTTACGTACCGTATATTGACCAGCAAGATTGGGCCTGATCTAACTGGACTGTTCCATCCGGCTCAGATACCATCTCTTCGTGGTCACCCTCTGAAGTTGCATAAGCCCAGATCTGATCACGTTAGAGCTGACTTTCGTTTATCACGCAGGGTCATCGACTCATGGAACGCACTACCCAGCGAAGTAGTATTAGCACCAACGGTGAAGGAGTTTGAACATCGACTCGACGCCCTTGGGTTGCAGTTTCAGACCTTTCCGTTTGGTTCTTAACTTCTACATCTATTTCCTTGGCTTCTCACATCTATTACTATTATTGTCTTATCCACACATTCTCTCCTGTACTACAATTATCATTATTTTGTTTTTGTTGATTCCCTTCTCTTAGCCTTTATTCTATTCACGTGGCCGGTACAGCGGGGACTGCTAGTGCAGGCCGCGTGGGCATTGATTGGTTGACCGTTATGTGATTCGTGTGTATTGATTTGGCTCTTCTCGGTTTCAAATCGCTCCCGCGAACTCCATCCTGGTTCAACGACGCATTGAAGAAGGAACACACATGGGAATTTTCCTACCGTTCCTGTCCAAATTGAACTTGAACTTGCGCAAGTCAGGGCACACCACCCTGAGTCTTTGGCTGAATAGCCTGCCCGCAAGGCAGCGGAGCGAATTCAGGGAATCGCGCCCATTGGTAGCCGGTGACTGATTGCACAGTTCTTACGTCTTTCGTTCCTTCCTTTGTCAAACAGGCGCCCAATGCTCCCCAGAATCACAGCATGAATTTGCTGGAACACAATGCTTCGCCGGGATGAAGCAAGAGGCAATGACTTTATTTAGTGGCGCGTCACGTCCACCACGTCACAGTGTTGTTAAACAGATATATCTGGCCTTTTATAGGGAGAACGCTTGCCGGGCGAAAACCCACCACTTCCTGGAACACTGCCACCGAACCATTTTCTGGAACGGCAAAATCCCGAACCACCCAGTTGGAACCACGAGGAAGTTGTTCGACATGCCAGCCAGCTAACAGATAAGTTCTCGTCTAGTGTAGCCTATATTCTGATCGTTGTTTCCTCTTTTTTTCCCATTTCGTTTTCGGTGTTGTTGGAGTAGCCACTTGTCGTGCGCTTTCATGCCATCTGTCTAGATGCCTCGTGCTCGGTCCTCTACCAACAGCTGTGACAGTACCGTCCAACTAGCCACCAGATATGACACAAGCACACCGTCCATCCAGCTCCGACATTCACTAGGTGGTTATCCAGCCGCCTATGAAGTATCTCTTTTGCCTTTCAGCCCCGTCGGTCTACTTCGACCCACATACACCCCGGAAACGGAAGCCCTCTGAACGCTCGACCAGACGCATACTACAAACGGATTCCAGTTGCTCTTGTTTGTTAGCCAAATCCGATTTTCCACTATTTCCCCCTTATTTTCGAACAATCGTAGAAAAAGATTCGAACTATAAATGCAATGGGTCGGTTCTTTACCCGTAACCTATTACTTGCAGGTGGTATATTCAGTTTCTTTACTAGATTGTTTGGTGCCAGAGAGAGGAGAATACTTATTCTTGGACTCGACGGGGCCGGAAAAACCACGATTTTGTACAGACTGCAAGTCGGAGAGGTTGTTACTACAATCCCTAGTAAGTTACCTACGTCAGTGAATTACACTTTTTGGTTGGAATCGGAATGGTCGGTCTTGTGATTGCTTCCTGTAAACTGGGCAAAGTATTCAGTACTACGTATCGGAGCGGCTAATTCTTCCACAAGTAATATGATCGATGGGAGTGAACTTCCTCGCGTGATTCATCATGTTAATCTAGGTGCCATACACTATTCCACTCTTCGTTCTGGTCACAACTGGAAGAAGGCGGGTGGCAAAGGGTTCCGGATGTTGTGGTTTATCCGTCGTTCTTTTGGGGCTCTACCAGCTGATATGTTCGTGAAATTCCTCTAAGCTGTCGTGCGACCCCACCTAGAATATTGCGTATTGGCCTGTCTACCATACCCTGTCCGGAGCAAAATAACACTAAAAGGTTTTGCGAGTCTGTACTAGGTTGGTCTTTAGATTACTCAGACAAACTTGCCCCGGGCGCCTACTTAGTTTGGAAATGCATTCAATGGACTTTCGATCGACTATAGGGAACCTAATCCTAACCTGCTGTATATTAACTGTCGGGGTGGGCCCAGATACTTATCTGTTTAGTTCTGCTAGATTGTCTGGTCTCCGCCTACATAACATGAAGCCGGCCAAGCCGCATTCCAACCGGATGAGGGTGCAAACTCAGCTATCGCGCCGAGTCATCGAGCGATAGAACTCGCCTCCAAAAATTATTGTCAGGGAATCGACGGTTAAGGAGTTTGAGCGTCAACTAGACGCTCTTGGGCGGCAACACGAAACCTGTCCCTTCTTCTGACCGACCCATTTTCATATTTTGATTTTTCTTTCTGTAATTTCGCTCACCATTGATGTTATACTTTTTTCAAATGATCTTTCTTATTCTTTACCTCCAATTTCTCTTCCTCTTGCTTACTTCACGTAACTGACACAGCAGGGACTGCTAGGGCTGAAAATTTTAGCATTAATAGGTTGACTGGGGTGTGATTCTGATATTTCGTCTTAGATCGATCAAGACCTCACAGCACCTCATCGACTCCTGGCTCAACGATCTTCTCAAGAAGGGACACTCACGGATTCCCCTATTTTTCCAATCCCACCTGAACTTGTACTTAAACGCACGTGTACTGTTCACACAGATGAACAACCAGCCGTCCAATTTGGGCTTGTTTTCTGTCACTCGCAGAGACATGGGAAATAAGCAATATAAAATGCTTAACCATGACTTTAGTGATATGCTATCGTTAGCCCCACCGATATTTGCATGTAGATTGTTACTTTTACCGAATTCTTAATTTCAATCAGTGCGGGTGACCGACATGATGCCGCTAAGTGACCGCTTTTTGCGCCCCTAGCCGTCTAAGTGAGACTCATGGTTAAACTCCGATACAACCGCCCAAGAAGTGGAAATCAACGGCTAATCATGCTTCCACTGTGATAGACCATCAAACAATCGCGGTGGCGTTTTGCTTCACATAGTCTTCTTTGTCTGGGAGACTAGTGAGCGCCTACCAAAGCGCTGATGGTCTATGTGAGCAGTTACGGTGTTCGATCCACTCAGACGCTGCGAGATGCTCATAGGCGTGGTATATCGCAGTTCACTAAGCCGCTACTTGGACCGGTTGCCGCATGTTCGCAACCACATGAGTCGTCAGCTGTTCCTACTCATGGGCGATTTCAACTTACCCCGAATACAGTGGCCTGTGGCTAAACTTCTCCCCGGCCATTGTGAACTCGAGCGGAAGTTTACGGAGTTGATATTTGAAACCGGGGCCACACAGCACATTAACCAACCGACACGCATAACTGCGCGCGCGACTCCATCGTGCTTAGACTTGCTTTTGACAAGCTGTGAGCAACGTGTGCATGACATTTAAGTCTTAGAGCCTCTGGGAGCGAGTGACCACTCGATGATCATAGCCAGCTTGGAACTGCCGCTGCCGTATGCTCCCCCGCTGGGGCCAGCCTTCAGCTATTGGAAGGCGGAGTTTAATGGCCTCACTCGAGCAGCGAGCCAGATGGACTGGTCTTTACCATAGGATTCGTCTATTGAAACATGTTGGACTATCATTAAAGAGGGACTGAAATTGTTGTGCGCCCGATTTGTACCCCTCAAGTATCGGAAAGTTAGGCCAGTCAAACTACATTGGTTCGGCAAGGAGTACAACAAACTGGCCCGACGACGACGCCGACTATGGAACGAATCCGTGTTATCTGACTCTGATGAGAACTACAATGCGTACAAGATACAGCGAAATCTCTGTAAAAACGCGAAGACAAAAACACGCAGAAGCTTCGAAGAGCAGCTTGCAACCGCCGCAAAAACTGCTCCCAAGAGGATCTTCGCCTACGTGAAGCGGCGCCTGAGGCCTGCAGGCAATGTTCCAGTGTTGGAAGACTCAAATGGACAGCCCCTAACCTCGAGCACAGATCGTGCGTCCGCATTGGCGGCACACTTTGCCTGCGTATTTGCAAGTGACCATGTGTCTGCAACGAGTTCGACAAGTACCGCTCCAGCTGAAGTAGACTGCAGCATTGAAGATGTACGCAAGCTTCTAACGTCTTGACGGGACGAAGCCTTCTGGGCCAGGTGGAATCTACCCACTGATTCTCAGGTCCCTATCGGCCATCATTTCGCCTTCTGTAATTGAGCTTTTCAACAGGTCACTATCCACTGGACTATTACCGGGCGACTGGAGATACTCAATCGTAAAGCCAATACCGAAAGGTGGTAACCCAAGCAAAGTGGATAACTACTGGCCGATCTGCCTGACCGCTGTTTTGGCAAAGACGCTCGAGAAAATCGTGAAGAAGAGCCTTCTGCTGCCTCTCGAGTCGAAAAGCCTCTTGACGACCGCACAGCATGGTTTCGTGAAAGGTCACTCGTGCATCACCAACACTGACTTCAGTAAGGCTTTTGACAAGGTAAATCATGCAGTGCTCCTCTACAGGCTGAGGGTGTACAGTATTGGTGGCTCCCTGCATTAATGGATCAGGAATTTCCTTGTTGATCGAAAGTGGAGGGTCCAGGTGGACAACCATTTAACCGACTGGTATCCATCGAGCAGTGGCGTGCCCCAAGGAACTCTACTGGTGCCGATTTTGTTTCTCATGTAAACGATGTGTCTCAGCTGCTCCAATCACCTTGTTCGTTGTTCGCAGATGACTTGAAGGTGTGGAGAGTAATCCGCACACCCAATGATTGTGACCTGATTCAGCAGGACCTCGACCGCCTCTCCATTTGGTCTGCATAGGTCAACCTTCCGAACAACCCGGTCAAGTCTCAGTTCATCAGCCTGGGTAAGTGTGAGCACAGTCGAATCTACACGGTGACTGGTCAACTGTTGCATCCCGCGCCTTTCGTGTGTGACCTCTGTGTACTCTCACACTACGACCTAAAGTCCATGGACAACACGAATAGGCTTTACCAAAACATCATCGTAACTGACCTGACTTTTGTGTGCAAAAGCAGCTGAATGTTATACTCAAGCTTCCTTGGGGACCGTAGTACTTGTTTCACAACATGACGGTATGTGTCCACTCATTCAAAATTCAGACTGCTTCTCTTTCGTCGTTGGTCATTTTAAGGTGGTGATCGTTTGCATGTGATCAGAGAGCACGACATGATATCATCTTGCAATCTCCGTCTTTTTATTATATTGTTTATAATGATACAGGGAACGCAGTGCCTCAACTGAGAACTTGTGTCAGCCCTCCGTCAGTGAAGCCTATCAAAACGCACTGGGTACTGAAATTTCGCTGTCTTATCCTAATGACATTGAGCTTCAGTGGAATAGGATCACAGCCAACATGCACAGCGCAGGAGCATCTGCTTGTGGCACTATTAATCGTTACTACTCCTCACTGAATATCCGAAGGGTCGGTGAACCTGTTGGAATCCAGAAGAAAACTCTCGGCTGGCTGTGAGCACAACATGACCAGACTGACTATTAGACGCAAAATGAAGCGGAGCCTGCATGCTGACAATGAGTCCTGCTGGACCAGTCGGGTTCAAGCAATGGAGGAGCAGTTGACAATTACCGCAAGCTCTTCCACATGATCCGCACCACCGGTCCCAGGAAACTAGGCGTCAGTGGGACAACCTGAGACAGCGCGTGTGCACTGGTACACAATAATGAGCGCCCTATGGCTCGTTCTGCGGAACACTTTCAAGATCAGTTCAGCTGGTCCCCTGCTCCCGGACCTCTTTTTACTCAGGTGATGCAGGACGAGCCATGAACACTTCCTTTAGAGGCTCCATCGGATGCCACGGTTCGAAACGCGACCACAGCCCTCAGTCGTTTTCGTGCTGCTCCCCCGGATTCCTTGCCACCTACACTATTTAGGAATGGAGTTGAGGTCCTCTGCAAATCACTGACTCCCTATTCGAACTTATATAGAAAGAAGTTTCCCGGCTAACCGGAGTGAATCGATTATAGTGGCAATATACCAGAAGGGCGGTCGCACCGACTGTACTAACTACTGGCGTATTAGCTTAGCACTAGTTGTGACAAGAGTACTGGCCTCGATTCTCCTTGCTCGCCCCACTGTGGAACGGGAATCTCGGAGTAGGATGCAGACAGGTTTCCGCCCAGGACGTGGCTGTATAGACCATATAACCACTCTGCGGCGGGTGCTAGTGCAGCGCCACGCACATCGCAGACCGACAATAGCTGTGTTCCTCGTTTTCAAAAGTGCGTTCGTTTCAGTTGATCAATCCATTTTGTTCGAAATACCTGCGCGGAAATATGCGAGCATTTTATATGCTCTAAACCCGAACACTACAAGCCACATCACGGTCTACGGTGACTTGTCGGATAGTTTCCCGACAACAAGCGGCGTTCTTCAGGATTGTCCGATTTCCCCGTTTCTGTTCAATCTCGTCGTGGACTCCATCATGGAGTGTTCCCTTTCGGAATCTCACGATGTAGACGTTGATGTCCTGCGTGATGAAAGGTTAGTTAATCTTTATTATGCGAACGATGTCGTCTTGCTTTTTGACGATGTCGCGGAGGCACAATCAAC